TCAATATATATCTCTATATATCTATATCTATATATGTCTAATTATATAAAATATTATAAGATAATATATATATATAAAAAAATATAAAAATATATATTTTTATATATATATATATATATATATATATATATATATATATATATATATATATATATATATATATATATATATATATATATATATATATATATATATATATATATATATATATATATATATATATATATATATATATATATATATATATATATATATATATATATATATATATATATATATATATATATATATATATATATATATATATATATATATATATATATATATATATATATATATATATATATATATATATATATATATATATATATATATATATATACTAGTGTAGAGCACCGCGCAATGCGCGGTGCCGGGTGCCTCGGGTGAATACAAGAACTTATCGTATTATGTATTTTCGACATACTTCCATATATCGATTTTTAGGCTGCATTTTTTTTATCTTTTTTTTACGATTAGGTAAAATTTGTGTCCAATGTGGCGATGGGAAGTGACGATTTGAAGTTGCCTACGGAGGGTGTTGTGGGGTCCACTCCCTTAGAAACAAGGGAATTTGATGGTGCACAAATGATTGTCAAAATACAAACTTGTTTCTGTGTTAACGAAAGCTGATTAATCAGGAGTTAATTTTTCTTCCTTCCGTTAAAGGCTATCTGAATGACGGCGTGTACGATGCGAAATAGTTATATAATATAAGGACCAAAAATCGAAAAAAATGACCGATTTGTTGATATTTAAGATTCATTTTAACATCTGAATCGACATAGATATGAATGCATTGAATCGTAAGATTGAATCGTAAATCATAAGGTTTTATGCTCGGTATTGCGAATTCTCGTAAATGTAGCGGATATTTTGGATATTGAAAGAGAGATCCACTTTGGGGTTAAATTTGCAATTTGGGTGGAGCGGATAGGAAGATGGAGTAAGTAAAAGGGTGATTCTGCAATTTTCAAAATTGTTTGAGCCATGGAGGTGGATTTTTTAAAATTACAAATTGACCTCCACTTGGGGGCATTTCCGGTTTAAGGACCAAAATTAAAAATGGTATATAATATAGGGAAAAAAAAGTTATTATCACAAGTTTATTACTTAGGTATGAACGAATTGAATCGTAAGATTTTAATTGTAAATCATAAGATTTCAAACTCGGAATTGCGAATTTTCGTAAATGAGTCACACACGATTATAGCTGAGGAGTCGTAGAAGCATATTGCGTTGGTGGTGGATATTTCAGATATTTCAAGAGAGATCCGCTTTGTGGTTAAATTTGCAAATTGGGTGGAGCGGCTGGGAAGATAGAGTAAATAGGGTGATTCTGCAATTTTCATAATTGTTTCAATAAGGGAGGTGGATTTTCAGAAATTTATAATTAACCCCCAATTGGGGGCATTTCTGGTTTAAGAACCAAAATTATATATATATATATATATGGACCAAAAATCGTAAAATTTGATCGATTTGTTGATATTTAAGATTTATTTTAACATTTGAATCACATAGATATGAATGAATTGAATCGTAAGATTTAAATTGTATAGCATAAGGTTTTATGCTCGGTGTTGCAAATTCTCGTAAATGTGGCGGATATTTTGGATATTGAAAGAGAGATACACTTTGGGGTCAAATTTGCAATTTGGATGGAGTGGGTAGGAAGGTAGAGTAAGTATAGGGGTGATTCTGTAATTTTCAGAACTGTTTGAGCCAGGGAGGTGGATTTTCAGAAATTACAAATTGACCTCCACTTGGGGGCATTTCCGGTTTAAGGACCAAATTTCAAAATTGTATATAACATATGGACAAAAACCGTAATTATCACAAATTTATTATAAATTATATAATGAATTAAAGTTTTCCTAAATCGTCAAATTTGATCAATTTGTTGATATAAGACTTATTTTAACTTTTGAATCGACTTAGGCATGAACGAATTGAATCGTGAGATTTGAATCGTAAATCATATGATTTTATACTCGGTATTGCTGATTTTCGTAAATGAGTCACACACGATTATAACTGAGGAGGAGTCAAAGCATACTGCATTGGTGACGGATATTTCGGATATTGCAAGAGAGATCCAATTTGGGGTCAAATTTGCAATTTGGATTGTGCGGCTGGGAAGATGGAGTAAGTATAAGGGTAATTCTGCAATTTTCAAACTATTTCAGCCAGGGAGGTGGATTTCCAGAAATTACTACCCCCACTTGGGGGCATTTCCGGTTTAAGGACTAAATTAAAAAATGGTGTATTATTAAATTAAAAATGGTATATAATATAGAGACAAAAACTGTAATTATCACAAGTTTATTATAAATAGTATAATAAATTAAAGTTTTCCTAAATCGTAAATCGTAATATTAGTTGATATTTAAGATTTATTTTAACTTTTGAATCGACTTAGGTATGAATGAATTGAATCGTAAGATTGAATCGTAATTCATAAAGTTTTATGCTCGGTATTGCGAATTCTCGTAAATGTAGCGGATATTTTGGATATTGAAAGAGAGATCCACTTTGGGGTTAAATTTGCAATTTGGGTGGAGCGGATAGGAAAATGGAGTAAGTATAAAGGTGATTCTGCAATTTTCAAAATTGCTTGAGCCAGGGAGGTGGATTTTTTAAAATTACAAATTGACCTCCACTTGGGGGCATTTCTGGTTTAAGGACCAAAATTAAAAA